ACGTTTAAAACTGGCTTTACTTTATTAGAATAAAGACAAGTCCTGTTTACTTCAATGAATCGTCTTAGACAGGGTGGATTGTTTGGGAAAATATCACATCCATAATCTATTATAAAGATGATTTTACAAGAAGTCTCTGAAATCATTACTTCAGAAATCATTATGTTGAAAACAGTTGTGCAGCTTCATATTTTTGTGGAAACCACAAGACACTGCCATTCAAAAGTTTGGGGTGAGTACTATATATTATTATTATTATTAATACTTTTATTCAAGAAGGATGCATTAAATTGATCAAAAGTGGCAGTAAAGACATTTATAATGTTACAAAAGATTTATATTTCAAATAAACACTGTTTATCTGAACCTTCTATTCTTCAAAGAATCCTGAAAAAATCAGTTCCCATAACATTATTAAGCAGCAACAATTAATTTCAACATCAATAACAATAAGAAGCATTATTGATAACTGAGCACCAATAATAATTAATACAAACTGAGCAGCAAATCAGCATATTAGAATGATTGACTCTTACAGTTTTCAAACTATTTTTTACACTCGTGTCCTATGTCAGAGCCGTTTTAATTACGAAAGACTCTTGTGAAGTATGGCATGCAACTAAAAAGACTTGACGCCAGTCTCAAGAACTTGGTAAAAACCAGCAGTTCTCACGTAGCCTATATGCGCGACGTCATGCGTTTGCAGAGCATTTATCTCTAGAATGTTGAGTTGAGTCTTAATCAATCCCAACCTAATTCCAGATTGACAGTCTCCAGAGCTTTCTGCTGCTCGAGTCTCACTCCTAAATAAGGAACCACAAACTCTGGGCTAATGAGCCTAGCGCGATTCCAGAGCTCCAGGGCTAATGGGAGGATATACAGTATCAGAGCATCGTCAGAATAAACTCAAGGGTTTGTACTGTAGTTCATGTCGGCTTGCTCACGCTCATTGCGAATGTGAGTTAAATAAACAAATGGAGTAAACGGAGATTAAATGTTTAGGTTTTCATCATAAGGCAGTGTAACATAGTCTGTTTATGTTATAGAGCAGTCTTTTCCTTTTCAGATTTGGAAAAGTCTGGATTTGGGAAAAATCCCTAAAACACTGAACATTTTTTCAACCACAAACGTTTAAAACTGGCTTTACTTTATTAGAATAAAGACAAGTCCTGTTTACTTCAATGAATCGTCTTAGACAGGGTGGATTGTTTGGGAAAATATCACATCCATAATCTATTATAAAGATGATTTTACAAGAAGTCTCTGAAATCATTACTTCAGAAATCATTATGTTGAAAACAGTTGTGCAGCTTCATATTTTTGTGGAAACCACAAGACACTGCCATTCAAAAGTTTGGGGTGAGTACTATATATTATTATTATTATTAATACTTTTATTCAAGAAGGATGCATTAAATTGATCAAAAGTGGCAGTAAAGACATTTATAATGTTACAAAAGATTTATATTTCAAATAAACACTGTTCATCTGAACCTTCTATTCTTCAAAGAATCCTGAAAAAATCAGTTCCCATAAAATTATTAAGCAGCAACAATTAATTTCAACATCAATAACAATAAGAAGCATTATTGATAACTGAGCACCAATAATAATTAATACAAACTGAGCAGCAAATCAGCATATTAGAATGATTTCTGAAGATCATGTGACACTGAAGACTGGAGTAATGATGCTGAAAATTCAGCTTTGATCACAGGAATAAATTACATTTTAACATAATATTTACATAGAAAGCAGTTCTTATAAATTATATTTTAAAATATTACTGTTTTTACTGTATTTTACACCATATATATACATACATATACTGTATATATATATACTGTATATATACATATATATATATATATATGTATATTCAACTTGTCTGACTAAAAAACTAATGTAATATATCAAAGGAAAGCACAAGCACACAATCTCTTGTCACTTAAATAATTTATTTACCACTAGAGCACCACAACAGTAATGTGTTACAATACATCATAGTGGGTCAACAATATCAACATCATCATCATCATCATCATCATAGACAATAATAACAATAAACAGCTCTAGTGTGACAATGCTGGTGTCTCCTTCCACTTCCTGTGTCTGCAGGAAGTCCACTGGCATTCTTGCCCTAATACAAATAAAATAAGTGTCACCTAAAAATCCTGGGCATGAATGGACGTTGCTCTTTTAATCTGATCTGCCACCAGTTTCTCTCTAACACTGGTTAAGACAAGGACTAGTCAAAAGGGGAACCTCCACCTGGAAGCCACTCACATCATCAGCTCATGTTATGTGGGTGAAGCTATAACTACGAATACAAACCAACAACAAAAGTTACAAATAAAAAAATGTAGAAATAAAATAGTCAGTGCAATTCTTCGTAACAAAGGATCACTTTCTCTGAGAGAAAACAAAATCACAAATTCAGGAAGACTCTTTGAGATGTGTAGAAACATTTCTCCATGATAAGCGTTATGGATGTCAGCGTCTGCGGCTGCTGCAGTGCATTTGTCAAGCAGGCCTCTGTTCAAAAGGATGAACCGGGGTTACGTCTCTCACTTACACGACCCGTCCATTATACATCTGTTCACAATCCTTTCATAATAATCTCTGACTTTACTAAAGCAACTCACTCTTCTCACATCAATAGCTACGTTTACATGCACCCAAATAATCCGCTTATAATTGGATTGGTGGTTCAATCGGACTGAAAAGCCTTCATGCAAATGATTCGACTGAGCTCGATCTGGATGACATTTCAATCAAATTTAAAGGGGTGCTTTACTTGCTACGTTTTTTTTTGTAGATTGGATTATTGCAGGTCTACACACCTTATACAATCCAATAAACAGGAAAAAATAAGCATGTAAATGCTTGAATCGGACTATTTTCTCAATCGGATTCAAAAATACGCAAAAATAGTAAGTAATATGCATCAGTGATAGGCCTTACGTCATACAAATGTGTATTATGTTTATTTACATGTTCTGTCTTATGACCCGGTTAGTGGAGGAGACGGAATATTTATTAATATTTGCTATATATATATGTCATGAATGTGACGACTGGGAACTGCATGTGCGCTAAAGTTTTGTTCGGATTAACGTAATGCACATGTAAACAAATATGCAAACCAGAATCAACATTTAGGGCTCATGTAAACAGAACTTTGAGAATCCGATTCGGACTGGATTCATTCCGATTAGTGCATGTAAACATGCGTATTGCAAATGACCTGCCATCGCCTCAGTCTCTGTACTAGTCTGATGACATCACTTCCTTTCAGCACTGGTGACATCACAGCTTCACCTGCTCTAATAAGGGACCTTGAGGTGAATTCACGAAGTTGCATGCTGTTTTTCAGCGCAAATACCAGCGTGTTATTTACTAACCACCCATATTCCAGTTCAACCAGGCAAGACATGCTCTGGTATAGCTCTGCGCGGTGAGTACTTAAAAGTCACAGTCATTCTTTTCAGAAATGCCTGCTTTTTATGCAAATTTGTGGCTGTTTGCAGCTGATTCACTGTGAACACTATTTTTTAAGGTGACATAGTTACATGTACGTAACCCTACATTAAAGGGGTCATATGATGCTATTTTAAAGATCATTATTTTGTGTATTTGGTGTAACAGAATATGTTGACATGCTTTAATGTTCAAAAAACACATTATTTTTCAAATACTGTACATTATTGTAGGTCCTCTATGCCCCGCCTCTCTCAAAC